ATCTTTGAGTAAACTCCAAAAGAAAGTCATTTGATATGTCTTCACACTCTATTCGAAAAATATAGCGGGAATTTTTATGTATTTTGGAACTGTATCATACTAGAAACAACATGGCTCTTTACCACAATACATATGAGGGGTTAACCTATGATCTTGGTAATCATACTTAATTACTAATTAGATATGTGGTTTTGTTTTCTACACCAATTTGGATACATAATTATCTAAGAATATGATGATCATGTGAAAGCTATCTGCATCCCACAAAAACCTCTCCTCATTTTCTAAATATTTTTTATCCATGACTAAATTCCTTCCATGGGTGCACAACAAGTACCGAAATAGGGCACGGGAATGAAATGTGTACTATCTTTTCTTGTAGGGACTACAACAAAATTCCAAAAAGACGAAGGGCAGTAGTGCCACCCAGTTGACGACCATTTAGAAAGTCGGGTATGGGTGTGCAATTAACCATCCAGTTGTACAATTTTGAGTAATTATAGCCGCACTGTCACATAAATTGCATCTTTAATGTACATTTTGTTTACCAGATTGTCGTGAAGCGCTGAACTTTCATCCATTATTGGTTGAGATAATAGTCCAAGTCTTCGCTTATGTCTTGCCCCACCAACCGTTGGGTGAGCCAATAGTACAAATCCTCGCTTTAGAAAATGTACGTAGACAATTGCAGAGCAAGATAATTAAGTGGGCCACACCATGATCAAATCAGATGTGTGTACTATAGTATATAAACCATGCATGATTGAGTTGGGTGCTATTGGTGTAACATACATTATTACGTCCTTTGGTAGATGCCAAAAGTACATTTCGGGTGGTGACTTGCATATTTGGTTTCTTTAACAAGGACATAATGACTAGGGTGTGGCATCACGATCCACAAATATTTCCAGAGCACAGCAACCTCTACCAGTTGCTTAGATGTTGCGGCGCTATAACGTCTTTTTGTAGAAAAAAAATGGTTAGTAATTACTACCTCCGTCCTGATTTACTAGTCCCCTTCGTATTTTGTGCCAAGTTTTGACTTCAAATTAACTGATAAAATGTTAATGCATGTCATAAAAAATAACATCATCGAGAACCATATTCAAATACGAATTTAATGATATATTTTTTGGTGATATGCATTAATTTAACAGTTCAATTCCGGTTTATTAGCATAAAATATTGACTTAACCATATGTATTTTAGGATAATTCAACAGCATCAAGCATAGTCAGGTAGCTAGCTAATTCATTCCTAGCATAGATGGCAGGAAAGACTCTATTTTGCCATTTTCATATTGGAGCAGCTATGTGCTCCGGAATCAATTACAAGACGTCAATTTAGTATCCACCCAAAATTCAAAGATGATCCTATACTTTTAGGAGGTTTCAGATGCTTCAACACCCGAGAATTAGTGATTACCTCCTATACTTTTATGAGGTTTCGGATGCTTCAACACCGGAGAATTTCGGGTGGATTCTTTGAAGCATGTTGCTGATTTAGGTGGTGACTATCTTCTAGCATGGCCAACAAACGTAGGTCCAAGTTCGTACGTAATAGACCATTAGCGATACGATGGCAGGTACACATGTATTTGGAGAGCAACTAATTAACGAGCGCTCATTCGGAAGCCTCGCAACGATCAGCACCACTTGACGCGCTCTCATCATTTCGCCACGTGTCGCGCTTTGGGCGCTCCCTCCGGAGTTCGTTTTTTTAATTTTTCTGCACGCGTTTTCGGCTTTTTAAACGGTTTTTTTCTGGGTTTTTTTCGATGTTTTGGTTTTCCACCGGTCTTCCCAAGCTTTTCGACAAAAAAAATATTTCAAAAAAAAAAACAATGCTCAAAAAAACATGTTTTTTTTTCATTCGCGAGAGTCACGGTTTTGTTTCCGCGAGAGGCACGATTGTGCTTTCGTGAGAGCCGTGCCTCTTGGAAACAAAAAAAACGCGTTTTCTATTTTTTTTTCATTTCACGAGAGGCATGGTTTTGCTTCCGCGAGAGGCACGGTTGTGCTTTCGCGAGAGTCACGGCCGTGCCTCTTGGAAACGGAAAAAAACGCGTTTTCTATTTTTTTTTCTTTCGCGAGACGCATGGTTTTGCTTCCGTGCGAGGCACGGTTGTGCTTTCACGATAGTCATGGCTGTGCCTCCTTGGAAACGAAAAAAACACGTTTTCTGTTTTGTTTCTTTCGCGAGAGGCACGGTTTTGCTTCCGCGAAAGGCACGGTTGTGATTTCGTCAGAGGCACGAGCATGCCTCTTTCGGAAAGGGAAAAACCCATGCTCCCGATTCGGTTTTTTTGTCAGGTTTTTTTCGTTAAGAAAAAGTTCGTCAAAATCTATCAACATGGGATCTAGTTTTGAAGATCTCGACGCGAGGAATCCAACGGCAAAAGCGGTTCGAGATTTGGACGCACGGTTTAAGAGATAAAACGTTTTGAATAAACGGATCTACAAAAAAAGAGGAAAACTATCAGGTTGCGACAAGTGGCGCACATGCAGCGCGCCACTTGTCGCAATCTGGGGGATTGGAATGATCTTCGCAACGAGTACTCCTTAACTAGTGATTTCCCCCTATCAGATTATTCTCAACGTGACAATGTCAATAATGGAAAAAAGGCCCATGTAAAAAAGCCCACGTACTAGTAGTGGCCAATGGGCATTGACTCTAGTGTGCTACCCCATCTTCCATCGTAACTGCAAGTCTGTAATTAGGGTATACAGTAGATTAGTCGCTGCCGTTCCAGTTTTGCAAGCCCTCGCAGACGCCGTCCGTTCGCCTCTTCTCGCCCTGCCGACCCAGCCCTGCTACTCTCCATCAGTTGATCTGATTCACAGATTCAAGTATTTGGCTGCTGCACTTGTCATTTTTTCGCGCTTAACCGACGAACGAGAAAAGGTTTAATCTCTGTAGATTCTCATCCTATATCAGTGTCGATTGTGGAATTGATACTCCAGATTTTGTTTTGTTTTGGTAATTTGGTTCTGTAATTTGTGACTATGATCTATGATTCAGTGCTGTCCAGTTAACCCTTCTGACCAGGATATGCCTATTTTGTAAATGTCACAGTCCCACAATTATCATGAATTCAGTGGTGTATTGGTGTGTCTCGGCCAGTTCCATATTTTGTGATGCAAATTACTCCCTCTGTTCACTTTTATAAGACCTTGAAGACATTTCAGACAATGTGCAAAACAACCCATTTTGAGCTGTCTGAAACGACTTACAAAAGTGGACGGAGGGAGTACCTTGTATCAGTTCCTATCTGTGATGCAATATTTTTTATTGTCAAAATTATACAGTATGTTAATTCTTCATTGCAATCCAGCAGGCAGAGGCTATGAAGAGAAAAGCAGGGCCAAACACCATTAAGATTAATGCTTTTTTAAGCCGGTTGCTACAAATCCGAGTCCAGTTAACCGTAAGTATGTTTTTCTACTCTCTAAAATCCGAGTCCAGTTAACCGCAAGTATGTTTTTCTACTTACAAACCCGAGTCCAGTTAACAACAAGTATGTTTTTCTACTCTCTAAAAGTACTTATACTGCATTAAGTTATATCTTGGTTGCTTTTCATCTTAAGTTATATCTTGGTTGTAATCAAATTATTAATTTTTTTTAATCTTATTGGCAGTCGTAGAGGCCACTTTAACTTAATACAAATGTAATGATATTTTTATGTCACTTAAGCAAAACCTTGTTCTATAGGATTAATTTTTGTACTGGGAGTTTTTTGTTACTTGGCTTGGCCCCCATATCCAAATCCTGGCTCCACGGAACTCATGCAGAATTAGTATCGATGGAGTCATCATTAGGCTGCCCGTAGTGGGTATTATCATAAGTTAGTGTCATGCATATGATACTCGTGTATAAAGTTGGTCACAATAATAGCATCATATGTAGTACTATCATGCATGCCAACACTCTAATTCATATTAAATGACGCACTAGTATGTATCATGCATCACAATGAACGAGGTCACTATAATACTAAATTATGATACTATGCATGTGGGGTAGTATCATATGCATGATACTAGTTTGTGATATTTGTCATTGTGACCAGCCTGACACTACCTCCGTGACGTATAATAATATTATAGATTAGTATCTTAAATGATCTTATTTATCGCCTCTGATGGGAGATGTGGTCGCCGTCGTATATTGCAGGCAGGCGTTGTCGCTGTTCAATGGATTGGACGAGGTCATTACCGCGTTCAATTAGTCTGCCTGCTGAGGTGCTGAACGCGGTAATGACGTTGTCCTTTGTTTTGGAAAAGACGCTTCTGCTGCGCGGGACACGCACCTCCCCGCATATACAAAAGGGCTGGCTGTTGTCCTCGCACGCGGTTCTACCTACTCGCCAAGCATATTACTAGGCACATACGCCGGGAGGCAGGTTCTTGCTCCATCACAGGAAGAGGTAGAGAGAGAAGGAAAACATACGACGGAGACAACCACGGCACGACATCCGTTTCGCAAGGTCGCCGGTCGTAAAGCAAGGTATTTTCGAATCAATAAAACAGAAAATCTCATGCGCGCGTGCTTGCTGAATCTTTCTGTATTTCAGAGTTCCGCACTGAAGAAGAATTTTTTTTCGCTTAGTCTGAACTCTTCGGCATAGATTTTCTTTTGCAATTGTACTGGAAACAGAGCCCGCAGAAGAAAAATGAGTACTACTGGAAGCAGATGTGTTGTTATCTGATTGATGCTTCGCTTTGAATTCCTCATGTATTGATTGACGTGGGTCACCCAGGCCTCCAAATAACGAACTGAATCCCCGATCCTCACTTCGATCGATGGCTTTAATTTGGTCCGTCCCAGTTGACATCTGAAATTAGCCATCACTACGCAGCAGGCAGGTTTCTATCTTTGTTTATAAAACAAAACAGAGGCAAAGCAGGGTCTTAACTCTGTATCATTATGTCTTCCATGTAATTACTGATTTACTTGCCCTTGCTCTTGTTTCAAGGGCCTCGTTTGTGCGTAACTGCAGATGGATGACCAAGTGATAAATACAAGAGAGGACCTGGAGCTCATGCTAATTAATGAAGCCGCAAAGCCCAAGCCCATGCTTTTCTCACTTCTTGAAGACATCACAAATGGTTTCTCTGAAGAGAATATTATTGGGAGGGGTGGATCTGCTGTGGTTTATAAGGTACGGACGTTCACAACTGCAACAGTCATAAGTACGGTTGATGTTGGAGAGCCAGGTGATGCTAAATAGCCATATTGTGACTACAGGGATCCGTCGGGAATCGGACGGTCGCTGTAAAGAAGCTGTCCATACCACATGAGCGCGAGAAGGAATTCAACGGAGAGATTCAGTGTCTGATGAAGGTGAAGCACGAAAACATCGTTCGGTTTCTAGGATATTGTTCCGACGCACAAGGGCGTATGGCAAGCTACAATGGAAAACTTGTGATGGCAGACGTACTAGAACGATTGCTTTGTTTTGAATATCTATATAGAGGAAGTCTTGATAAACATATCACAGGTAGGGTCATTTACCATATATATAGTGTAATATTTCTTCACTTAGACTTTCTGTTTCAAGTATCTCCCACACATACAGTAGGAGTTAATTGTTGTGTCCTGTATCCTCCAGAGCTCGAGTATTATAAGAACGTAAGTATCCTAGCTATCAAACCCCTTTCACATTTCCACTTTACAGATGCAACATGTGGACTTGAATGGAAACAACGATATCAAATAATTGTTGGAGTTTGTGAGGGCTTACACCGACTTCACAAGGATCGCATTTTTCATTTGGATCTGAAACCGGGAAATATACTTCTGGGTGACAACATGCTCCCGAAAATTGCTGATTTCGGCCTTGCAAGGTGCTTGGATAAAGACCAAACCAAGGTTCATACTCAAAATATAGGTGGAACATGGTAAGCCAGCTAAGCCTCTTCAGAGCTCATCGACTTTATTTCAATTGTGATTCATATTAAACTCCTCCGCATATTTAATCTAGCTACAAACATTTATTTACAGGGGATACATAGCACCAGAATTACACACGTTTGATGGTGTAATCACAGTCAAGTCAATCACAATCAAGTCTGATTTGTATAGTCTTGGTGTCATAATTATGGAGATACTCACTGGAGACAAGGGGTCGGACAGGTGTCGCGAGGTCCACGATGTAAGAACTTTCTATCAACTTTTGATTTTAAAATAAGTATTGCTACTCTTCAAGTTTCTATTCCCTCCATTTCCATAATGTAGACATCTAGTTCTGTCATAATAGGTCAAGTCAGTTAGAAAAAAGCACCAACGACATCTACATTACCAACATAGTATCATTAGATCCGTCATCAAATATATTTTTAGTGTATTGATTTGATATTATGGATGTCGTATATTTTTATATAAACTTAGTTTGAATCAGAGAAATACCAAAATGACTCATATAGTGGAATAGATGAAATATAGACTTTTCTAGTGCAAGGCATGGATTAGCCGCAAAAGAATTTTTTTTTACCAAAGTATATCAGGTAAAAGCTAAAATTGCTAAGGGAGAAAAGGAACATATGTCCTAAAAGAAATGAAGAAAAATACTCTTTCCTTTAAAGTAATTGCTCGTGCGTTGCAATGGGGCATACATATTCTAGTGATCCTTCCGCTCGATCATACTTTTCATAATTTAATTGATCCTCCTGTCCAACGCTTGATAATACTTTTCATAAGTGGCTTCATAGCTCGTACATCCCTATTGCATAACCTCAAATCAAACGACCCTATTTGTCTCAAGATGTTAGGGGCTCCAACAATCCAAGGCTCGCTGCCTTTTTTCAAAAAGGCATAAAGCCATATATTAGGCAACACTGATCCTTACAAAATGACCCATACAAGTAAAATACTACATTCCAATCTTTGCGGAAGCTGAAGTCTTCTTCCTCCTGCACCAGCGGTACTGTGAGCATGGCTCGATTCGATTTTCTTTAACCCATGATCTTGTAGAAGTAGCAGCCGGGAAGTCGTCGTTACAGCCAGGAGATTCCGACGATGGTGATCTATGAATGCCGGAAAAGGCATGTAGAAACTCTAAAGACTACAAACACCGACCTAATCCACGCAGATCAACCGGAAACCTAAGTCAACCGGATCTCTGAAGATCGACCGAAGACATAGCTCCACACGCCCTCTACCTTTGATAAGCACACCAACAAAACGAGGATAGGACGGGAGGAACATTACTCCTACACAAGGTCGGCGCAACCGTCTTACAGCCCTAACAAAGACCCTAAGACGTCATAAAGCCCATTGCCACCCACGATCCCGTCGCTACTATGTCCACTTCTCTGATGACCAAGATAGGTCGAGTCACCGCCGAAGGTTGCCAATGCGATGGAGCTGAGCCACTAGCCTGGACCAGTCGTCCCCGCCGCCAACACATGCACACTAGCACATGATGCAGTGACCATCCCCATATATCTCATGGCCTACCAGGGCACCACAATTCGATAGGACCTCCATGCCACTACCAGGGTGGCGCACCAAAGTGGTGGCGGGAGAAGTAGATGCAATCTAGGGTCCCCTGTGGCACGAGAGGAGGGACAAATCTTCAGGAGGCGAATGATGGGTTATTATCGTCCCAAGCCTCGCTCCCTAGCTTAATCAAATATATCAAACACAATTTAAGTGTAGTTTAAACTATTTTGTTATATTATATGAAATTTTGATGGTTATATTACACATCCAAACTATGGGAAATCAACTTAATCAAACTATACTACACTAAGTACTGGATATTGATCTAACACACATGGCCTTTGAGGCATCCATAATCATAGTCATAGTCTCTATTTCAGCAGCCGGTGGCGGCGGGCGCCCATGCCATAGCAAGCTAGCTCCGGGTCGGCGGGGACATGCGATGGTGCCACCTGTGTCTTCACGGAAGAGGTCACACGCCGTGCTCGGTATCATTCCACTTTGATGAGGCGTCGCGAGCCTCCCGACAAGGAAAAAGTCCATTTTAAACACTGAACTCGTAGAGGTTGGGCGAATCAAACCCTCAAGTCAAAATCCATGTCGAACTTTTTAATTTGCGAGTAGTGAGATTTGAACTCCGGAGGTGTACGTGGATGGCTGCTGACATTAACCACTAGGTCCGACTTCATTTAGTTGTACTGTATCACGAAAACAGACCTAATTGACCTGCTTTTAGTTCACGGAAATGATAAAAATCCATAGAAATTTGAAAAAGTTCACGGAAATGAAAAGTATTTCAAGAATTTGGCAAAATCTTCATGGATTTGAAACGAATCACTAATGTGAAAAAAATCATGAAATTTTGAGAAAAAATCAAGATTTTTTTTAAAAATCATAAATATATTTAAAAACATCAATTTGAAAAAATATCACATATTTGAAAAACAATTCATCATTTTTGGAAAAAATGTTCAAGAATATGATAAAATTTCATCAATTTTGAAAAAACCCTTACCAATTCCGAAAAACTTTACAGAGTTGGAAAAAGTTCATCAATTTAGAAAAGAAGTTCACAATTTTTTTGAAAAAAATCACGGATTTAAGAAAGTCAATGATTTTGAAAGAAGTTCAAGGATTTTCAAATGAATGGTCCATAGATTTGGAAAACAAATCACGGATTTCTCAAAAAATGTAAAATTATGAAAGAGTTCACAGATTCGAGAAGGCCCAGGAGTTTTTTTTTTTAAAAGGTTCACAAATTTGAAAAAAGGAATTGGAAAAAGGTTCATGCAATAGATAAAAAATAAAAAAAATAAATGAAAAATTGTATAAGAATCATCAAGCTAAGGAGCCAGCCCAGCGCAGAGGACATGAGTTTGAATCATGTTGCACACATTTTTTAGCAGTGTAATAGAAAAAACAAATGGGCCGGCCCACCAATCAGACGAATCCCGGTTGACATTTACTACGTCAGCGCTTTTATTCGTCAAACGACGACAGGCTCAATTTAGACCGGGATTGCATAGTTCAGGACGCAAACGACTGTGATTTCGATTTGAGGGTTTTATTTGCCAAACC